GTGTTATTGACCTATTTAGTGGAAAGCCAGTCAGAATAATCCATATATTCCTGTGTGAAGTGACCTGCTGCCTGCATTGCTTTAACATGTTATTTTGGAGGGTCACCTGCATTAACAATTGTGTGGCATTTGGGTCAAAGAAACCGATCTTACATTTTAACTTAAAGGGGACCTATCATGCAAAATTGATTTATTGTATACATGTGTCCCCGGTGTGTCAGGGAACTCACGCAGCGTCAGAAAATACCTCCGTACCCAAATCTCTAAAAACGGGGCTACAACGGAGCTGATCCAGATTTGCGTCCGATATGACGTCATATTTTTTACACCCACTGGCCCAATCAGAAACGTTGCTATCAGAAACAATGCCCGACTGTTTTGGACGTAATATGGTCGGTGTTTACATTAGCATCGCTAACACTCAGAGCTAACCTGTACTGGAGAGCATGTGTGTGAAGAAGCAGGAAGTAAAAAAGAACTCACCTTGTGGTATAACCGGCAAGAGAGAAAGCCTTTGAGCTCCAAACTGTTTCAGAAATAATCTGTACTGCTAAGTCTAATATTGGCTACCTAGCTTACTTTGTCTTCTTCATCAGCCAGCATCCTTGGTATCTGTTGTTCACTGAGTTGATTCTCGCTAAGTAGCCAATATGAGGCTTAGTCATCTTGCCAAATAGTGAGCCTGTGTTGATGTATGAAAACAGTTAGAACTGGTTTACAAATAGTTCTTAATGATTAATAAAGTGTTTAATTATAAACCCTTTATGAACCCTGAATGAAGGTTAGTCTTATTAAAGTGGTACCAATCTTTTTTAACCCCCTCATGTTCTGGATCAATTTGACCTATTGGTACCAAAGGGTTGAACATTTAAGACAAGAAATGCATCCTGACTTTGTTATATATATTAGATTTAAAAAAACAAAACAATTCAGTGATGTTTTAATTGTTTTACTTTATTATTTGCCCCTTTTGTTTGTTTGTTTGTTTGTTTGTTCAGCATGTAAAGTGGCCTTGGGTCCATTGAAAGGCGCTATACAAATGTAATCTATCATTATTATTATTATAGGAAACCTCTGAAGAAACAATATACCGCTCTTGAGTGCAGGTGACCCGCCAATGCAGCAGGTTATTTCATGTGGAAACTGTAATTATATTGATTATTCTGACTGGCTTTTCATAAATATCGGTCAGACCTGAGACTTCAGACCTCTAGCTGCTTCCTCCCATCCTCCCTCCTCTTCCTCCTCTTCCTCATCCTCCTCCCCCTCTGTGCTGCATTGCCACAAATCTGATCCTGCACTCTCACTCAGAGCCACGCCCGTCCCTTTAACGCCCTGTAGACAGAAATAAAGTCCTGTTTGCTGCAGCTCCTGGGACACAGTGCACATACAGAGAGAGAAGTGAAGCATTCTGGGTAGAAAGACCCTAACCCACTGCAACCATAACAACCTTCAATCTGCTTTTATTTACAGTACATTTCCTGAGACAAAGTGCAAGTGATATTATATTGTATTTCACCAGTGTGGACAATTATCAGACACAAATCATCACACTATCATCTTACAGGGATTATCAGTGTAGAAAAAAACCCATAATAGAAATAAAAATGTAAAGCACGAGGCATTAAATCCACAAAATCAAAAGGTGTATCCGCTCCTGTTGTTTGCCGTGTCCATGCTGTAAGGATTTCCAAGGAGCATATATTTTAATGACAGCCACTATAATATAAAAAAATATTCTTTAATGCAGTAGTTCCCCCTTAATCGTCCAAAAAATTCTAAGTTGATTCATTGGGATGAAATAGATGAACACATTAGTCTAAATAAAGCTTCAGCTCAGTGTTGAATTTGTTCCTTTTTTTGTACAGAATTAATAAGTAAATTAGAGACATTTAAGCCACAATGGAGCTTTTTCACATCTATCAAGCATCAAATTAAGCCATGACAGAGAGGGAAATGTCATGGTACAAGGACCCTTAATCTTAAACAATTCAATATAATTCAGCCATTATTAAAACACGTTTAAACATGTGCTATTCCTAGTGTAAAATGTCTTAGATTTCCTTTGTGAAAATGTCTCGTTTGAGGCCGATTTGGTCTAAATGCGCCCAAAACACTTCGAATCGTAGAAACTCGCTACAGCTTCAGAAACTATGCAAATATAAAAACACAAATGTGCCAAAACACATGCAGATTTTCAAATATATTGACACGTATGAGACAGCCAACAGAGTAGTCTAGTTTTTCGGTTCTGCACTGTTTTTATTAAAAGCTTCATTTGCATGTGTTTTGACACAATTGGCATTTAATATATGCATCGTTTTTTAAGCTGCTGCACGTTTCTCCCAATGGAAGAGTTTTGGGCCGTTTGCACCTGTGGGCCATATTAAAGGTCCCATGCCATGCTTTTCCAGTTATTAACCGTCCCCTTGTGTCTTATGCATCACAAACCCTCAAAGTACACCCTGTAGCGAGTAAAACTGTAACACTTCGAACCGGAGCCGACACATTGGGCGCATACACAAAATATCTTTGTTAAAATGTCAAAATATGGCATCGAGGAGGTCTGCACTCTCTAATATACAGTAATAAGTTAAATAAGCTGGTGTCAAATAAAAACTCTACAGACTCTCGTTCATTGTTTTCCTCCACAGTCTGCAGTGCTCTTCACATATACATTGCATTAAGTGTTTTCAGTATTGCAGTTATACCAAACATGTGCAGCAATAATACAAGAGTAGACAAGTTTGGTATAAAAAGGATTCAACCCCAATGTAAAGCACTACCCCCTTCTATTGGACTCTTGTTAGCATTAAATCATGCTGCAAAAACGTTGCTGTTAAGGCTTGGATTGCATTCGAAGAGTAAACCCATAATATATATAAATAACCCCTTCAATGCACATTCAAATTCATGCAGCAGGAGGGCAAAGGGAATATATACTTAAATGAATATTAATTATTCTGGATAGTACATCTTTAAACTTTTCTTTCACTTTCTTTGATTTTAGTTTCAAATGTGGTGATCAAATACAGTAAAAATGGGAGATTTCTGAATAAAACATTAGAAAAAAAACACGATTATGATAGTGTTGTGTCAAGCTTAACCTAGTTTTCTACATTATCAACATACAACCCAGTCTCACGGCATTTCGTGTTATAGTCACGAAATTAATTTAATTTCTATTGATTTGTGATCACCGACACGATTTTCGATTTTAAAAGCAATGTATTTCTATTGGTGTGTTTCGTGCCTGCACCACGTCTTTTTGTCCGGTCGGGTCTTGGAATACCAGAAGCTGTGTGGTTCATAAAAACATTGTCTTACTCAATATCTTACCCTAAGCCTAACCCTTTTATTTTGAATTGTATAATGTCGGAGTTTTTTTGCCATCTGCGAGGAAAATAAATATCTCAGAGCCTCAGAATACTGACATCTGTATTTTTTGTCATCTGTTTTTTCTTCTAATTTGTTATTATTTACATTGCTTTTAAAATCGTTCTGTGTGACACGAAAAAAATGGCAAAATCGTGTTGGTGAACACAAATCAAAAGATTAATTTCGTGACTATAACACGAAATGCCGTGAGACTGTGTTGCAACATACATGGTGGTAGATTATGGAGAACCTGATGGTGAGGATACAATAGTATGATATGTGTGTCCAGTTTAGTTGATATGGAAGATGCTGGCTTCATAAACCCAATAAAACAAAGGCTATGAAGTCGCCACAGTCAGAAGACCACTTTCATTTCACTTTCAATCCCCCAGATAAATCAGTAATTATTAATATGGATCTACAGGGCTTAGCTAGGGGGAAGTATTTGAAGAGGTTCAGTGGCTGCACATCGTGTGATGAATAAAACTGAAATGTAACAAAAGTCTGACGGAAGATTAAAACAGGAATCTGTATTCAGACCGGCATCTTTAATCTGTCTTTATCTGCGACACAGTCTGATGGCCCTCTGAGGTCCAGAGAGAAAGAGGAATACTTTTTTATGAGGGGAATGACATTGCTATATTCAAAAGAGAAAGCTAAGATAATGGGAACGATGGGTGAGTTCTGGATAAGTGAAGGCGTTATATTGACGACTTTCTCCATGAAGAATAAGCAAAAACTGAAGAAGGAAAAACAACAAACAAACAACTAAACAAATCCAATGTGATCATAACAATTTGGACAATCACTTTACTTCAGATCACAGAGTTAGCATTTCAGCACTTCCTGTTCCCTCGTCACAAAGTCAATCGTTTTTAGTAATTAAATACCCCACTGGGAAATAAAAAAATGGCGGTTGTGTCTAAATGAATCTACTTAACGTCTTTACTCGCAACATTAGCCATCTTTAGCTTAGCGGTGGTGATGTGAAGTCATGTGACCGTGCTGTAGTTCCTTTATAGCTCAACATTAGCCTCCTTTAGCTTAGCGGTGGTGACATGAAGTCATGTGACCGTGCTGTAGTTCCTTTATAGCCCAACATTAGCCACCTTTAGCTTAGCGGTGGTGACGTGAAGTCATGTGACTATGCTGTAGTTCCTTTATTTATAGCCCAACATTAGCAGCCTTTAGCTTAGCGGTGGTTACGTGAAGTCATGTGACCGTGCTCTAGTTCCTTTATAGCCCAACATTAGCCTCCTTTAGCTTAGCGGTGGTGACGTGAAGTCATGTGACTGTGCTGTAGTTCCTTTAGCCCAACATTAGCAGCCTTTAGCTTAGCGGTGGTTACGTGAAGTCATGTGACTGTGCTGTAGTTCCTTTTATAGCCCAACATTAGCCTCCTTTAGCTTAGCGGTGGTGACGTGAAGTCATGTGACCATGCTGTAGTTCCTTTATAGCCCAACATTAGCAACCTTTAGCTTAGCGGTGGTGACGTGAAGTCATGTGACCGTGCTGTAGTTCCTTTATAGCCCAACATTAGCCGCCTTTAGCTTAGCGGTGGTGACGTGAAGTCATGTGACTGTTCTGTAGTTCCTTTATAGCTCAACATTAGCAACCTTTAGCTTAGCGGTGGTGACCTGAAGTCATGTGACCGTGCTGTAGTTCCTTTATAGCCCAACATTAGCCTTCTTTAGCTTAGCGGTGGTGACGTGAAGTCATGTGACCGTGCTGTAGTTCCTTTATAGCCTAAAGTTAGCTTTGTACTTCAAGAATCATAAAGTGGTGTTAATATATGGAGATTATCCTCATAAATGTTTCTTTGACACATAGATTATTTTCTCAAATCCCATTGGCTTTTTGTCGAGGGAACCAGGGAGATGCTGTCTTCCGGGTCAATTTACACAAATATATAATCAGTGCACCACTCTAGCAGATAAAAAAGCAAATTAAAAGCATGAACACAATGCACTTTACTTTTGTTGAGTGATGAGAAGCAGTATGTACAAAAACATCAACATCTTTGGTGTCTTTCATCCATTTCCTGTGTACAATTATTCCCTTTAGCTTCATTAGAGAGGTGATTGCATGAGGAGGGTATATAGTGTATAAAAACTATTATCTTTCTACAAACATTATACATTCAAAGTAATTCCTTTATATACAAGCATGAAAAACCTGTGAAGAAGCTTCAGTTCGATGCATATTGCCAAAGATGCGACCCCCGTCTGTTTTGATTAAAATGGTTTCTTCCATCCATGTGTTCAGTGCATTCCTGCTGATGGACCACTTCATCTCCTACAGCGGGGGTGTGTGTTTGTTTTCAGATAAAACTCTGATAGCTGTAGTTTACCAACCACATCGTCTTTACAAACATCTTAAAGAACCATCAGGAGACGGTGGAGTTCACACACACACTCACACACTCTCTCTGCTAGGTTTTCACCAGCAGCTGTTATGAAATGTCCTCTGGTGTCTTTTCTCCTTCCCGGGATTTTTTCCTCTTCCTGTGGCCTGAAATAGACGAGACAGGTTAAACATTTAAAATTAAAACTTTTAAGTTTACGAGAAATATAAATACACACAAACAAAGTAGAATACATATTTGAGAAATTACTGAAATAAAACGTGCCCAGTATAACATGAATTTATCCACTTATTATTGTTTTAATTTAATAACTTAATTAACTTAAAGGGGACCTATCATGCAAAATTGCACTTTTGTACGTCTTTTACACATGAATATGTGTCCCCGGTGTGTCAGAAAACACAACCCTCTCTCTTTTCCTCCGTACCCAAATCTCTAAAAACGGGGCTGCAACGGAGCTGATACAGATTTGAATTTTTCTGACATCAGAAAAGGGGTGCTCCGTCTATATGGGCAACTCTCCACCTATCAGGGGAATGGGGGGTTGGGCCACGGCCACGGCCATTGCCGCTCGAAAGCAATGGAGACGCTGTAGTACATATGCCAGGCCTGTAAGTGGCGCTGTAGTCTGCCACAAAAGCAGAATCAGCCCTTGCAAAAACAGGGCTGGAAAAGAGCAAATAGAGCGAAATGAGGCATGGCTAAAATGCATGATCTGTTTGGTATTTTGACCCTACAATATATTATTCAAATATAGCATGATAGGTCCACTTTAATTTATTATTTATAAATTAATTTAGCCATTAATTTATTTTTTATTGATGTGTTTATTAAAATATTTTTTTATTTGTTTATGTTTTTCTTTTCTTTAAATATGTTTATTTGACATTAATACACATTTCTTTGCATGCATCAGAGTTTGCCAAGAGGCTATTATATTTAGTGGGAATGCTGACACAGCATTCCAACTATCTGTTATGCTACGCACAAAATTCTTTATTATTCCGCCAGGTTATTTTGCGCTGCTTCTTCTCCCACATTGAACATCGCAGAAACTCCTCAACTTTCAACATGTCTCCATTAAAGCCCATTGTAATTTCAGTCTCACCTTTCCCCACCACAGCAGCCGCACACCTTTAGTTAATCTGCCAAAAAGGCCACATTATTGACCCGAAAGTACACAAAAAGTTCAGATACTCAATTTCCTTGACATGCTTCACGCTTTGAAATTTCACCGATATCTGTTACGGTTCTTCAATAAAACGTTCACATGTAAGAGGTTCATCTCTCATTCAGAACAATGGAAATGCTCTCACTGATCACCATGGAAACCTTTGATCTCTGGACACGTCGTTAGCTCAAATATAAACACCTGTGTCATGGAACACGATGATGTCATCACTCCAACTGACATAATTAGAGCAGCAGACTTCAGATAATGGTTAATGGTCCTGCCCTCAACAGCTCTAGTCAATTATGGGGTGTCATCATATGCCGTTTCCATGGAAACGCATCCCTCGCCATAAAACACGATGTCGCTGTAACTCCAATGGACACGGTCCGATCACCCCCAAACTTCGATTGTATATCACCGGTCCATGCTCTACATCAAATCTGACATCTCACCATATGCTGTTTCCATGGAAACGCATCCTTCGCCATAAAACACGATGTTGTCGTAATGCCTATGAAAAAGGTCAAAACAGCACCACACTTCAGATAATGGTTAATGGTCCAGCCCTCAACAGCTCTACGTCAATTATGGGGTTTCATCATATGCCGTTTCCATGGAAATGCATCCCTTGCCATAAAAGAAGATGTCGCTATAACTCCTATGAAAATGTTCAAAAAGTGCTCAAACTTCACATGTGTGCTAACAGTCCAGCCGTGAAGATATCTACGGGACAGTTTTGAGATTTCTTCAAATGCTGTTGCCATGGCAACACAATGCTCGCCATGAAACACGGTTTTCTCATAACTTCAGGGAAAATTCTCCAAATGGCCCAAAACTTCACAGGTTTGGTAACGATGCAGCCATCAACGCATCTAAGCGTATTATGGGATGTCATCAAATGCCGTTGGCATGGCGACAGATCATTCACCATCAAGTTAGTTCAGAAGTTTGCAGTTCAAATATTCTGCTGCTTTTCCAAGCCTTTTTACTTTCTTTTCTTCTCATCACACATTCAAGCCCCCAGTGTTCACGTATCATTTCAATCTAAATTCTTCACTTCCTTCTTACACATTACATTTCAGCATAGCAGTTCAGCGTCAGCTTTTCAGCATAAAGCATTCCCACTAGCAATTTCTTCAGGAATTGCATTCTCTAGTTTACATCTGTAGTCTCTTCAAAGATGTAAAGAGGTTAAAGTTTAAAATTTAGAGCTGTGTTTTGCATCACTGGCAGGGTGATTAGTTATATAAACTATTATAAACTAGGCTTTCCATCTATAGAGCCAAAAACTGGAACTCTTTCAGACACTTCATGAGAATACTAAGCAGGCGAGAGCTGATACTAATGTATGTTTAATCAGGAGGGGGAGCTGACATTGTGAGGCATAGAAAAAGTTGTGAATAGGTGTGTGTGTGTGTCACTCACTGAGTTTGAGCAGGAGTTTCTTGCCCAGTGTGTCCTCTGAGCCGCTCAGAGACAGACTGCTGATGAAAGGAGACGTGTCCGTTTCTATGGCTACACAGGCCATGTCTGAAGGGGGCGAGAGAGAGAGAGAGAGAGATAGAGAGAGAGAGAGAGAGATAGGAGAG